TGCTAAAAAGCCATCACTTAATTTGGACTCAGAGTAGAGAGAGCAAACTCACGCACTCAGGTGTAGCACCGACGCTGCATCTTCCATATAGTGACTGTCAGGCACTTCCAGGGGAATAAAATCGAAGCAGCTGCTAAAACCTCACAATTCCTAGAGCTAAAACACAAGCCCTCTTGGATGTGACACAAAAGCAACCAAAATGTGTGTTTAAGCCTGTCTTTTCAAGCTACTTTTTTTTTTCTAATTTAGCAACAGAAACTTTACAGACAAATGAATAGAGGTTGTGTATTCATGATCTGGGCAGAATGGCCAAATAGGAGACTGTATGGGAAAATAAATATTTTTTTTGTTTTCTCTCCTTCTGCAGCTTTGAAATGCAGCAAGTCTGGTGTAACATTAATACAAAACTGGAAAGTGGAGAGAGGAGAAGCAAGTTTCATTAACAGGGAGAATTCTACATAAAATATACTGGAGCTGATGGAGGAAAGGAAGAGACAGCCAAGATGTTCAGCTGCAAGTGGAGTCCAATTTGATGCTCAGCATGAGTTTAAAGGGAAGATTTTCTCAGCCTTAAAATAAAAGAGCAGTATTGGATGCGTACGGGGCAGAAAACTGTCGTCACAGAAATGGATTGTGCCGGGCTTGGGAAAAGCGAGAGTGGCAAAAGTAGCTCATTTTGCTGTGCTACATTTATAGATGTGCTCATTTGAATGCTCCCGGGAGGACCAGCTTTCTGCGTCCAGACAAAATTATACAGGCATCCCACCACGCCGTATCCCCGTGCTAAAACCTCAGCGTAAAGCACATCCACCAAGGCTTAGCTGGGAATTTTGCTGTTGGATTTTGGGGAGCAGACCTGATTTCCTGCCAGCAGATCTGCTGCTGTCTTTCATTTCTTGTAGGATCAGCCCTCTGACATGAACAAATTGCTAACATCAAGGACCTGATCCTGCTTCCACTGAAATCAATACAAGTTTTGTCATTGGTTTCAATGGGATCAAGGATTCAATCCCACCGTTTTTGAAGTCAATAGGGTTGGGGTTTTCTCTGAATAAGCAAGGTTGTGTTGATACTGCAGAATGGGCCTAAATTATATTGATTATTTGGATGTAAACCCAGGCATAAAAACAGGATTAGGGGTAAAAAGGGAAATGTATGAGAAAATGAGTGTAGAGCAGCATCCATTCGTGGCGTGCAGCGGGTCAGCAGGAGCTCAGCTGGAGCAAAGGCTGCAGTGGCATAGCACCAGGGAGCCAAGTCCACTGGAAAATTTTGGGGGGGAGGAGAGAGAAGAAATTCATCCTGGAGATCCTTTTTCATCTGCTCCTTCTAAAGCAAACCTTTAAGTCACTCATCCTTTATTAAAAATAAACAAAACATTGACAGAAGAAATTATTGTCACATATACACACACAGTAATTGGTTCTGCTTCTTCGCTGCTCCTTCTTTTCTCTCTTCTCTGATACAGGGTTGTTCTGTGTTTCTGTGTAACAACTACTGGCAAATCAGAATTTATTGTACATATGTTTGTGTTCCACTTAATAAAAAATATACTTATATTTTCAGATAAACTTTGTTAGTAATTCATGAGGTAAGTGACTATTTATGCTAATAAGGGAGAAATATATTCTCAAGCATAATGCATTACATAAATTTGAATGCAAAATGTTCAATTATAAAGTAAATACAGGTAATGCAAACAGTAAATTACATCCAATAAAAATATATAAAGAATGTGTCTTCAAAGAGAGAGAGGCTTTTATTTGCATCTGTGAGTTGTTTAAAGAGAAAAGAATTAATAAATACTGAATTACTCTTATGATGATTTAGCTCATAATTCAGCAATCCATAACGACTCCCAGTAATCAGACTGTTGTTTCATACTCTCCAATATAAGGCAGGACTGTTTCCTCAGCAATTTTATCCTTACCAGATTATCTCGTCTGATTCTATTAATTCTCTCCCATAAATCTGCTAACAGTGATATGTGATTTACTTACCCTGTTAACTGATCTGAAGACTGTTAAAAGGATTTATCTAGCACTGCACCTAGGAGCAGTTTATGCCTTATCACTCTGTTACCCTGAAGAAGTCTTTCTGAAATCAATTTGGCTGGTTTCATAGTTAAATTCAGTGGACACTGTTTAGTTCTGCACCATAAAATAAGACACTAGATAAACAAAAGGAGCAGTAACTGTACTTAATGTGTTGGTCTTGATACGCGTTTAAGTTATAACAAATTACTCAGTGAGTCCATATAACACAAAAGCTGCACGCTCGCTCCTGCTGGATGTGGTGTGTGGGACAGGCACACGCGCTCCAGCGGTGCAAGTTCTGCCTCTGCTGCTGCCTGCTCTGCACACACCGACCCCAGAGGCTCTGGAGTTAATGTTTCACGTCCCCCTGCACGCTCTGTCAGGAAACTCTCCCACAATAAATATACATTAGTTTGGAGGCTCATGAACCAGGTCAGCAGCACACTGGGAGCGAGCAGGGCTCCACGGGTACGTCGTCAAACGGAGATGCTTGAAAACAAACCGGAGCAAGAGGCTGTGAGAGGGACAGAGGAGTTTTCCCTCTGCCTGGCTCGGGCCAGGATTGTTACAAACAGTGCTGGGAAAAGGGAGCAGTCTGGGGGAATTGGCCTGCGATAATTGTGGAAAAACTAGAGACTGAATAGCTCTAATTGAAATGAAAGTGTGTGATTGTTATGGAAGAAACACTGTTAATAGAGGACTGTAAATGTTTAGACACCCATTGTGAATAGCCAAATAATAAAGAAAAATACTACTAAATCGAGAATTATATATTGTAGGGAGGAGAATGTTGCTTCTGAAGGTTATCCAAAAATTGCTAATAATCTTTTTTCTCTGCTTCACTGAACAGTAGAGACATTTTGGTGCAGTTCTGTGTAACAATCACACAAGAACAATATTGTACAACTAATAATTTTACTCGCTGTTCTGGTAGGTCAGAGCTTCAATTAATTTGCAGTACTTGCTTACATTGGTATCAATTAAGAGACGGTCCCCATTAGCTCACACAATTTCATACTCTTTGTCTAGAGTTCAGAGTTTACTCAGGAAATTTACTCGTTTGCAAATGTAGCACTTTGAATCTTCACATCCAAACAAACAATTTTATGGGGCTGGAGCCACATTTCCGTAGCCATCTACCACACGGCCTAGGGAAATACTACAACCGTACATTCTGAAATGCAATAACCTTTTCATTTAAAAATATTAGCACACACTTTATGTCTCTCACAGGTAAGCATGTTAAGGGATATATAGTGCCATATTCATCTTACTCAGGAGGAAAAAAAAATACAGGGAATTGGCCTATCCTGGGGGGATTTATGCTGTGAGCCTGAAGTTTTGTTGATTCCAACAAAGTGAAGAAATAGGAAAGTCAGCCTGAGCAGTTAACTTGCATTAACTGTGTCACGAATCACCATCTGTAAGATAAAGCTGCAGATGTGCATGGCTCTGTGTGTGCGGGTGTGTTGTGGGACGGTGCACTACTGTATTTTAATTTTGTTAGAAATGTTGGTAGCATTTTTTATCTTTACAGAATTGCCACTATGATAATTTCTAGATCTAGTTATCTTCCTAAACTCGCAGTATGCCCTACCCCTTTCAGCTGCCAGGAACAGTACATGCTGTATGACTTTCAGATGTTGTACTGGCACTCACACTGATAATGGCATAGTCAGAAGATGTTATCCATTCGTAAATCCACTCGCCAAGCGCTATTTCCTAAGCAGAGATTTTTTGGCAATTGCAAATGATGACTTTCACAGTCGGTGAAAAATCACCCAGAGCCTTGCCCGCACCTACAGAGTGATACCCTGAGCGGCGTTATAAATAGCAAACTCCAGGGGGGAAGGGACCGGGCTAGGGGAGAAGGGAGGATTTGAAGTACAATGTTCAAGAAGCAGGTTTAATATATGACCAAGTGTCAGAAGTCAGGTTTCTGAGAATTACTTTTCAGATAAACAACTTTATAGCACTGCACTTAATCTTACTTACTAGAGACATCTCATTTATCACGGAATTACAAGTAACTTTAATTCTATCGATATTCCCATAAAGCCCGGTTGGAAAATCGAGCCTGGCAGCCCCGGAGGCTGCGGGTCTCCCCGGCCCGCGACGGGACCCGGGCGGGTGCAGCCGGGACCGGGCGGGACCGCGGCGGCTGCGGGGGCGGCCGGGACACGACGGGGGTGCCCGTCCTGTCCTGTCCTGTCCCGTCCCGGCCCGGCCCGGCGCTCGGCACTGACCTGCGGACGAGAGATGGCGCTGTCGAGGTTCGAACCGAGCCGCTCCGCCGCTCCGCTCCAGCCGCCGCCGCCGCTCCTCGGCCCCCGGACCGGCCCCAGCCCCCTCCCGGAGGGCTAGGGGGGGCTGGAGGTGGGGGGAGACGAAAGCAAATACAATTAGTTCTAAATGTATTAAATTAATTAGTCCTGGCCGGCACGCCGAGTGCGGCGGGAGGGGGTGCGGAGGGAGCGCGGGGTTTGCAAACTTGCGGGGCTCTCGCACCTCCGGGCGGGCACGGGGGATGGAGGCATCGATGCCCCCGTAACAAAATAATCAATACGTGACCGGGGCGCTGCCAGGGTGCGGAGCGATGACCCGCGGCCGGCACCGGGGCAGGGCCGCCCGTCCGCCCGTCCGCAGGTACCCGCGGCGGGCACGGCGGAGCGCCGCGCTGCCTCCGCGCTGCCCGCTCCCTCCCGGGCGCTGCCGGGTCCCCCGCGGTACCGCGTCCGGCGCTCCCCCTCCCTGATCCTGGCCGCACGGAGCTCCCTCGGGTGCCGGGCCGGGCTCAGGGGCAGCTCCCGGGCACTCCGCCCCGGGGCAGGGCGCTCGGCCTCGGGCGCGCACGGTGCGGTGCGGGCGGAGCGGGCCGGCGGTGGCCGGGCCGAGCCGAGCCGAGCCCGGGCGCGGTGCCGGCGGCCAGGAGGGGGTTAAGCGGGCGCTGACAGTCAGCTGAGCCCTGACTGACAGCCCGCAAAGTTTCCCTGTCGCTAGACTCTTATGCTAATGAGGCCGGGCGGCGTGCGCCCATTGGCCCGGCCCCGAGCCCGTGTCCCGCCTGACGTCACGGGCGCTATAAAACTCCGCAATGCTTTAAACTCTCCTGCCGGATCAAACCTTTAAATATTTTTCATCTTCTTGCTGTAGCTTTGAGGCCGAGTTGTTTTTTTTCCCCCTCTCTCTCTCTATTTTTTTTAAACTCTTATTATTATTATTTTGGTTGCGATATAGACTTTGATTTTTTTTTTTTATTTTTTTGCCTTCGCTCTCTTTCCCTCCTCCCTCCCCCGATGAACCTCTCTCCTCGCTCTGCACTTTGCACGAGAGAGCCCAGAGGAAAGGCACCATGAAGTGTTAAAAATAACAAAACAAAACAACAACAACAACAACAAATTTACTCGCAACAACACCAGCTAACACTTCCAGCTGCGGTTCGCGAGCTGCGAAAGAGAGCGAGAGGAGAGAGAGAGAAGGGAGGGAGAGAGGAGGAAAAAAAAAAAACCCTCTATGCAAAAGGCGAATAGCGAGAGCCCCGCGCTCTGATGCATCAGCGGAGCCTCTGCGAGGGATAACGCGGAGCGGGAGAGGAGCCGCCGGGGCGGACCGGAGCGGAGGCAGAGCAGGAGAGCGGAGCGGAGCTCGCCAAAAATCAAGCTGGCTCACCCGGTGGCGACTCAGAGCAGCCCCCTCGCTCCCGGAGCGCACCCTTTCTGGAGGACTCTCGGCAGCAAAAGGATGGCATCAGAGCTGGCGATGAGCAGCTCCGACCTGCCCACCAGTCCCCTGGCCATGGAATATGTTAATGACTTCGATCTGATGAAGTTTGAAGTGAAAAAGGAGCCGGTGGAGACCGATCGCATTATCAGCCAGTGCGGCCGCCTGATCGCCGGGGGATCGCTCTCCTCCACCCCGATGAGCACGCCCTGCAGCTCCGTGCCCCCGTCCCCCAGCTTCTCGGCGCCCAGCCCCGGCTCCGGCTCCGACCAGAAGACCCACCTGGAAGACTACTACTGGATGACGGGGTACCCGCAGCAGCTCAACCCGGAGGCGCTGGGCTTCAGCCCCGAGGACGCGGTGGAGGCGCTGATCAACAGCAGCCACCACCCGCTGCCCGGCGCCTTCGATGGCTATGCTAGAGGGCAGCAGCTGGCCGCGGCCGCCGGCGGCTCCGTGCCGGCCGAGGAGATGGGCTCGGCGGCCGCCGTGGTGTCGGCGGTGATCGCCGCGGCGGCGGCGCAGGGCGGCGCGCCCCACTACCACCACCACCACCACCACCCGCACCACGGCGGCGGCGGCGGCGGCGGCGGCGGCGGCGGCGGGCACCCCCACGCCGCGGCGCCGGGCAGCGCGCCGCCCTCCTCCGCCTCCTCGGCCGCCGGCTCCGGCTCCGGCGGCAGCGGCGGCGGCGGCGGCGCCGGGGGGCTGCACCACCCGCACCACGGCGGCGGCGGCGGCGGCGGCGGCGGCGGCCTCCACTTCGACGACCGCTTCTCCGACGAGCAGCTGGTGACCATGTCGGTGCGGGAGCTGAACCGGCAGCTGCGGGGCGTCAGCAAGGAAGAGGTGATCCGGCTGAAGCAGAAGAGGAGGACCCTCAAAAACAGGGGCTATGCCCAGTCCTGCCGCTTCAAGAGGGTCCAGCAGCGGCACGTCCTGGAGTCGGAGAAGAACCAGCTGCTGCAGCAAGTGGAGCACCTAAAGCAGGAGATCTCCAGGCTGGTCCGGGAGAGGGACGCCTACAAGGAAAAGTACGAGAAGCTGGTCAGCAATGGCTTCAGAGAAAACGGATCCAGCAGCGACAACCCCTCCTCTCCAGAGTTTTTCATGTGAGTTCCCACAGCCTTGCCACCTTAACTAAAAGTTCTCCGTGTGAGTTGTTGTTGGGGGCTTTGCTAGAGCCACAACCCCGCTTGCCACCTTCTATTACCTTTTTTTTTTAAAAAAACACAAAAAACAAAAAACTCACAACAATTTTAAAACAAAGTTGTTTTTTGGGTTGGTTTTTGTTTTTGTTTTGTTTTTTTTTCTTTTTAAGGTGGGCTGGCTCCGTGTTGGCCAATCTAAAGTTCTACATGAGTTTCCTTTCTGTTTATTATTATTATTATTATTATTTTTATTTTTTTTGTGGGGGCTTGCTGTTGTGTTTTTTTTTTTTTAATTTGAAAGATTCAACTCGCCACCAACTCAGTTCTTCATATGAAGCTTGTTCTTCTTTGAAACCTGCCATCCACATTATATATATATATATATTTTTAAGTTCATGAGGTTTTTTCTTTTGAGCTTGCTGTGTCCAAAAAGTCAGATTTTTTTTTGCCATCCTGAGTTCTTCATATGAGATTTGAGCTTTGCAAAAAGAAAAATAAAATTTAAAAAAATTAAAAACTTAAAAAAAAAAAAAATAAAAAAATCCAATGTGAAAATTTTAGACTCCAGCTTGCTGAGTTCCATCAGTTTTTAGCGTTGTTGTGCAAAACTAGAGATATGCCTAGATCAACCTGCCAAATCAAGCCTGCATCAACCTTCGGTGTGTTCATGTGAGTTTTGGCCTTAATCTGCCAAACGTGAGACTTTAGTCTGCCATTAGAATCCCATACTCATCTCATGCATTACGCTTGCTATTTTGTCTTAGCAACAATGAACTATAACTGTTTCAAAAGACTATGAAAAAGAGACATTATATTAATAAAAAACCCTGCATGCTGGTCATGTATGGTATAATTATTTTTTTTTTCTTTTGCTTGGAAATGGACTTTTGGAGACTATTATGGCATGGCATTCATCCTTTTGTTTTATTGCCTCATCACTTTTTTGGGTTGAAAGCAAAAAAGTGCAACCTTTGATCTTCCTCCTCCTCTTCCTCCCATTAAAGTTTGCATCTGCTCTAAAACTGCTTTGAGTTACTCAAAACTTCAGACTTCCTTTTAAATGCACTGAAGCATTCCCTCTCAAAAAACCTGCCAGAATGGATTTTGGTAACTTAATGTGGCAAAAAAAAAATTTAAAAAAAATCAAAAAAACAAAAACACAGAAAGAACTTCGGTAAGATGTTAAAAAACAAAATTCACATCCCACATGGGGGGGACATTGAAACCATGCTGTTGCCTAAAAACAGTCTAAAATTAATTTTAAGTGATCTGCCCCATTTTTTTTTTCCTTTTGCGTTTGGTCATTGTCAAATGTGGAATGCTCTGGGTTCCTAGTATATAATTTAATTCTAGTTTCTGTCATCTGTTAGCCCAGTTAAAATGTATGCTACAGATAAAGGAATGTTATAGATAAATTCGAAAGAGTTAGGTCTGTTTAGATGTAGATTTTTTTTTTAAAGATTGATGCACTAAATTGTTTACTGTCGTGATGTAAAGGGGGGTAGAATTTGCAACGGGACTGTTTTAAAAAGTAGTTTATGCAGCATGTGCTTGCAACTTAAATATAAGTTGGGTATATGTAGTCCTTGCTATACCACTGACTGTATTTGAAAACCAAAGTATTAAAAGGGGGAGGCACCCCTGTTTATATCTATAGGGGTATTTTACATTAAAAATGTATGGGTTGTTTTGGTTTTTTTGTTTTTTTGTTTTTTTTTTTTTTTTTTTTTCAAAATTGAAGTATTTGGGACTGAATTGCACTAAGATATAACCTGCAAGCATATAATACAAAAACAACAAAAAAAATTTACGAACCTGTTTAGAACGCTAATACAATTTATGCAGTTATAAAGATGGCATTACTGCACAGTTTTAAAATGATGCAGATTTTTTTACAGTTGTATTGTGGTGCAGAACTGGATTTTCTGTAACTTCAAAAATTCCACAGTTTTAAAGGCAATAATCAGTAAATTTTATTTTCAGGGACTGATATCCTGTCTTTTAAAAAAAAAAAAAAAAAAAAAAAAAAGGAGAAAACCTGCACACAGCAAGGGGGGTTTTTCAATGGAAAAAAAAAAAAAAAAAAAAAAAATCAAAAAAACAAAAACACAGAAAGAACTTCGGTAAGATGTTAAAAAACAAAATTCACATCCCACATGGGGGGGACATTGAAACCATNTTTTACATATTTTGCTGTGCAAAATTGTTTTATATCTTGAGTTACTAACTAACCACGTGTGATGTTCCTATGTGCTTTTCTTTCATTTTCAACTCTATGGTTATATCGAAAGAGAGAATAATCTACAATAATAAACTGCATTTTTTTGATTCCGTACTCAGTTTCTTAGTCTGTAGTTCAAAGTTCCATAACTGCGAGCGCAGTATTTCAGCGTGCTGCCTGCCGAAGGGGCGATGCTGACCCACGAGCTGGACTCAATAATGTTCAGGAGGGGAGAAGGAAAAGGATAGCTTCGTGTAAAACGGAAAATTGTCACCCGCTAGGACTCAAGTTCTCTTTCAGGTAGATGAAAAAAACGTGAGCTTTCAGGTGCTGCTTCTGTCTGCTCAGTAGTGCAGCGAGGGCAGTTTCAGTGACTCAGATCATCCCACCAAGTTCTAGGAGATCTCAAGGAGGAGATCTGCTTGAAAACCTGATGACACGATATGGCCCTGTATTTTGATTGTTTTATGATGGAGCGAAGTTAAAGAGAAGACTTCACATCCTCTTATCATCTGATCCCAGCTAAGCATGCCTGTCTCTAGTAAGAGATGACACTGCATCAGGCTTGGCTTATCACAGAGCCACTTAAAGCTAGATTGAAAGATTTCATTTTGGTCCATACTGCCTCCTTTTTTTCTTTTCTTTGCTTTTTTACCCCTCTTTTTTCTTTTGTTTCCCTGTGGATTTTTTTTGTTTTGTTTTGGGTCTTTTTTTTGTTTTGTTTTGTTGTTTTTTCTTTTGCTACAGGCCTTAGAAAGTCCAGAGAGAGCTGAGGAGGGGAGAAAAAATAATCCAAAGGACTTCCTCCAACTTTTGAGAGTTATTTGTTCTGAACAATCAACCCCAAAGGTTAATGTGCTAGAAACATTCAGGTCTCTGAGCCCCTCTTCACTGCAGTTCCCCATGTCAAAGGGCATTTCAAATTTGAGAGGCTCCTCAAACACTCAGCCCAGTTCGTTTAAAGCCACCTCTCCTTGAGAGGCTCCAGTGTCCGTCGGCAGAGTGCTGTCCTGCTCTCTGAATGGGATTATCTGCCCATTTTCTGTGAGAGGCAGAGGCCTCTCCGAAGGACGCTCCAGCCTCTCCTGGATGGGGGGTTTATCTCCAGGCCCAGGCTCATAAACCGAACTCTTTTTTTCTTCTCCTTTGTGTTTTTCTACGCTGCTGCTGGTGCAAGCAGTAAGGTCATCCCTGCTGGGTGCTGGTGGCCCTGAAGGGACAGGACCTGTTGCCTTCCCTCTGCCCGGCTGGTCCAGGGTCGAGCTGCAAGGTCAAGGTGTGGCTCTGAGCTCCCCTGCAGCACCTGCACCCACAATAGCCTGTGTCAGTGGGCAGTGGCTGGTGCTGGAGGTCGCTCTGCTCCTGCTGAGGTCCCTTTGGTGGGGATGGACAGCAGCCTCTTGTTGGTGACAGCAGTGGCTTGGTCTCCAGAGCCGATGCTGTGTCTCACCCCTCCCCAGCGCCGGGGCACCAACCTGCCCTTTGGCATCTGACCTGCAGTTACACCAGGGTTTGAGTAATGGTTCAAGCTCCAGATTCTGGTTAATTTGAGTTCCATTTTCTGGTTAATGTGTAATCTGTGGGTAAACTGGTTGCTATTGGCCGAGCTGGGAATTATCTCCTCTCATAAAGACAAGGCTGCTTGTTATTTTGTCTCCCACCTTCCCTTCCCTGACTGAGCCTTTACTGATGTCCAGGTGTTTTTGCAGGAGCTCACTTAGAAGCTTTGCTGCTGCCCTTGCTGAGAGCAAGGAAGGGAAGGGAAGGGACAAGACCTGTCATCAGCAGAGCTCCCGCCTGAAGTGGTGCTGCAGCCCCCCAGGGAGCACAGAACCCCAAGCTGCCCAGAGCAGGATCACTTCTGGTCCAGCCTCATCCTCACACCCCGCTGTCACTTCAGGCTTCCTTGCAGGCAAAGTTAGGAGCAGGCAATAAGATTTCAAAAGTACTGTGAATTGACTGAGCAGTGAATAGCGAGGAGAGCACTGCTGCCTCCCTGAAGTATCTTCTTTCACAGACGAAAAAACCCAAACATCCTATTTGAATGATTTGAGAGATAAGAGAAAACCTTCCTAGAAACAGACTTCCTAGAATAGGATGACAAAGGGAAAATTCCCATCACACCCCCAACCTGAGAGACGAAAAAAAGCTTTCTTCCAGTTTGGCATTGTGATGACAATCTTGCTTTGCAAATTAAAAAAACCCAAAAATGTAGCCTTTCTTAGGCTGCACTTGAATTTCAGCCTGAAACACGCCAACTGGCCAGCTGAAGGGGAAGAAAAATTAGGTACACATTTTAATATTCACTGAAGCAAAGTGACTATTGGGGTTCTCTGTATGAGTCATTGCAGGGGAGCGCCCACCTCTGCCAGAGGACTGCTTGCTGAGGACTAATTGGAACTGCTCTGCTCTGAATAACCTACATTCATTAATCACCCCTTGCTTGACTCTGGCCTCAATCCTGCTCCCATTGAACTCGGAGGTGCAGTCCCTGGGGATTTCAAAGGGGAGCAGGATCCCACTGTTCTCCCACAGGTAAAATGCAGGTGGAATGCTGTCTGAGCCAGGCAATTGGGTGTCAAAAGGTGTGCGTGGTCTTATTCTGCCCATCACTAACAGCATCCTATTTTTCCCATAGTCCTATAATGCCTTCCCATTTATTAACTACATTACAAAGAACTTTCATGTGACCGGTGCTGGGAGATACGTGCATGGACAGCAGCCCTTTGCTGGCTTGGAA